CCAGATAACTCCATCAATTTCAAGAATTCTCTTCATCTTTTGATTGCAAGTAAGTCTTCTTTTTCTTTTTTTTTTCTTTTACGTACATGCATCATACTTGTATAATTTGACTGTAATAAACTATAATTTGAAGTTTCGTATAATTTTTTTTCAATATGTTTTAAATATACTAGTTATTTTTTTCTTACGTACATGCATCACACTTGTATCTTAGAAATATTAATTGTATTGTTTTATAGACATGAATCAAAAAGATCCTGCATGGAAGTATGCAAAAGAAATAGAGGGGGAAAAATACTTGAGATGCGCATTTTGTGATCAAAGATGCAGTGGAGGAATTTCTAGACTTAAGCATCATTTAGGTCAAACTCATCACGGTATGCAACCATGTAAGAAAGTTCCTGAGCATGTGAAAAAAGAGTGTGCCGCAACTTAATGTTCAAAAGGCTTACGCCTTAATGCCTCAAGGCTTACGCCTCGCATAGCGCTACTAAAAACGCCTCGCCTATAAGCCTCGCCTATGAAAACATTGGGTAAAACATAAAACCAGAAAATCCCTAATAACGAACTCCACTGCTCGCACTTCGCATTCATCGAATCCAAACTCGCTTCCAAGGGAACAACAACCACACATCAGACGAAATCGAATGTGGGTAAAATGAGACTGATTCCACGGCTAAATCCAACATATAAAAAGGCCCTTTCGATCTGTCTGATGTGTGGAATAGGGGTACTTTAAATGAAACAAAAAACCCGACTCGGCAAAGCACCGAGTCGAAACTCTACCAATCTTCCGATTAGAATTAAGATGCGAACACGCGTGTTGAGGATGAATAGCTGCAAGCTTGGATTGAGGTTGGAACGATTGAGGAAGGAGAAGAGAGGAGTAGAGCAAGTGATATGGGCGAGAGTGATGGGGATTTGGGGTATGAGAACCATGGCAGTGAAAGAGGATGAAAAACCAATATAAAGGTTGGAGATTTCTGTGAAATCCAGGGCTAAAAGGGGTTGGAGAGGAAGGAGAAAACAAAACAACATAAATGAAATGGCATAAAGCCCTGCACTACTGAGATAGAGCTCAGAGAAACACCCATTATGGGTGGAAAATTGCCACCGACTCTTAAAATTGGGAAAGCGACAGAGCACATGGGATCGTCTAAACATCCGTCAGGTGGTTCCACCATTAAGGCCAAATTGGAGGTAGGATTTCAATCATTCCCACCAACTCCAACAACACAAAAGTAGCTTAGAAGTGATTGAAAGCTTTTGCACCCGAGCTTAGCTTCTAGCTCTGGTAATGTCACCTCCTCAAAGTCTCAGATTTGCTGATTCAAATTGATAACATTTCCATGAAGTATTAACTAGCTTAATGCTCATTGATTAACATATAATCAATGAGTAGCAATATAGAAATATATCTACTGTTTTTTCAAGATATATCAATTAAGCATGCATTTTAATGAATCTTATGTAAATTCCCCTTCCCTTCCTAAATACAAATTCTAAGCATCATACGTGAAAAAGATTATTTAACTACAAAGGATCAAAGAAATTTGTATACTAGTAATACAAAACCAAGAATGCATTAATAGATTAACTTAAATTCTTAACTACCACAAATACATTATAGAAGTGAAAATAATAACCTATTAATCATGTGAAGTGGAAATTATAAACATTGAAGAATATAATTTTGTCATTTTTCCTCTCTCTACAAACTAGATAAAACTAATGACAACATGAAAACTAAAAGAAGAAAAACTAAAATGGAAAGTGCCCCTGGATCCTTGCCTCTCGGCTCCCCAGGGTCTTTTCTCTACTGGTCTATACCTACTTTATTTGGTACCCAAGAATTGCACTCTTTCTCCCTATAAGAAAATGAACTCAAGAGAGGGAGAAGAGTGAGATGAGAGGGAAATATGAGCAATTGGTACAATTCGATGATTTCTCTATATTATCAGTCAGTACATATATATTGGTACAAGGGTTAGACTTTTGCAAGTCTATTTACAGAAACTCAGAAATATAAGGTAAGTACAATCAATTGCATATATTACAGAGTAATTGATAACTAAATCTGGCTGACGGAGTGTTGTGCTTGTGATGAGGAGTCTTCCAAGGCTGATGGATTGGGATCGACTGATTTCATGGGATTGATGGAAGGGATGGAATCTGTTGGAACAGATTGGATGGGATCGGCTAGAGTGATATTCTCTTTACCCCCCCCCCCCTCAAGTGTAACGGAGCAATGTGAAGATTGAGCTTAGATTTAAGAACTGAGAACCGATCATGACTAAGGCCTTTGGTGAAGACGTCAACAATCTGATGGGAGGAGGGAACATAGAAAGTCTGAAGGGCCTTCCAAGCAACTAATTCTCGAACAAAGTGATAGTCGATCTCAATATGCCGAGTGCGAGCATGGAAAATAGGATAGATGGAAGAAAGGTTGTCGACATAGATGCAAGGTGCAGAACGAAGAGGAATACCAAGTTCACGAAACAGGGAACCAAACCAGTGAATTTCAGCTGTAGTATTGGCAAGAGCACGATATTCTGCTTCAGTACTAGAACGAGAAACAGTAGACTGTTTCTTGGCAATCCATGTGAGAAGATTAGGTCCGAAAAAGATACAAGCACTAGTGGTGGACCGTCGATCATCGACAGAACTAGCCCAATCAGCATCAGAGAAGCTGCATAAAGTAAAATCAGTGGACTTGTGAAAAACAAGCCCTTGCTCAACTGTACCTTTAATATACCGAAAAATGCACTTGACAACCTGAAGATAGGAAGAACGAGGGTTGTGCATAAACTAACACACCTGATTGACGGCAAAGGAAATGTCAGGCCGTGATAGAGTGAGATATTGGAGGCCACCCACCATACTCCGATAGGTAGATGGATCAGATAAGGGATCACCATCCATACAGGATAGTTGAGTGTCAGTAGGTAACGGTGTAGGACATGGTTTGCATTCAGTCATATTAAACTGTTTCAATAAATCAACTGCATATCTAGTTTGAGAGAGAAATAAATGATCAGGAAACCAAGTAATTTCCATGCCAAGAAAAAAATTGAGCTCACCCATTCAGTGGCTGTCAAAGGTGGAACACAACTGATCTAGAAAGCAGTGGACATTTTGTGGGTCAGAGCCAGTGACAATAATGTTGTCCACATATACTAGAACATACATGGTGCAAGAGAATGAGAGACGAATAAAGAGCGAGGCATCAGAGTGGCTGTGAACAAATCCTTGAGAGAGAAGAAAAGTACTGAGGCATTGGAACCAATTTCGAGGAGCTTGATTAAGGCCATAGAGAGCCTTATGAAGCCGACACACCGCCTGAGGACGTGAGGGGTCATGAAAACCAGGGGTTTGTTTCATGTATAACATCAAGTTGCTGCAGATACCAGTTATAAGAAATAGCCAGAGACAAGATAGTACGAATAGTAGCCGGTTTGACTATCGGGCTAAACGTTTCTTCGTAATAAAATCCTTCATGTTGATTGAATCCCTTGGCAACAAGGTGAGCCTTGTAGCGATCAATAGAGCCATCTACTTTTCGTTTAACTTTGAAAACCCACTTGCATCCCACAATATTCATTCGAGAGGTGGCCGGAACCAAAGACCATGTCTGATTCTTTATGAGAGCATCATATTCATCCTTCATGGCAACTTGCCAGTGACTATATTTGGAAGCCTGGGTAAAGCTGGTTGGTTTAATAGACAAAAGGTTTGAGCATGTGGCAGAAAGGGCATGAGGTAAAGGATGTCGATGGGTAGGAGAGTAAAGGGGTTTTGTGGCAGGACCAAAGGGAACGATGGACTTGAGACTCTTAAAATGTTGTGGAGGGTTAGTGTATCTGGAGAGTTAGGAAAAAGAGATGGGTTAAGATAGGAAAAGGTGGGAGTCGATGTTGGGGATGGGTTTGTGGTGGTTGGAGTGGGGGAAGATGGAGGAGTCGATATTGGTGATGGGTTTGTGGTGGCTGCTGAGTTTGTGGGAAGCAAGGATGGCAGGGGCGATATGGCTGGGGTCATGGTAAGGGATGGTGGCGAGGAAGGCAAGGGTGACGGCAGGGAGTTTTGAGATTGAGGAGAAGCCACGGGGTCTGCTGGAGCAGAGGATGGAGGGCTAATTGGGTCAGAGTGGGGTGGGCTTGTGGAAGGGTTGATTTGTGGAGATTATAAGTGGGGCCCAATATCAGAGTGAGCAGCAAGTGTAGGCTGGGCAGCAAGTGTGGGCTGGGCAGCATGTGCAATCTGAGGCCGCTGATAAGGAAAACTTGTCTCATCAAAAGTCACATTCCTAGATATATAAATGCGGCTTGAAATTGGATCAAGACAACAATAGTCTTTATAATAAACATCATAGCCAATAAATACACGTGGAACAGATTTAAAGGATAGCTTATGCATGTTGTATGGCACCATATGAGGAAAGCAAGTACAACCAAAACTTTTGAGAAAGGTATAATCCGGTGGGCGTTGAAGTAATTTCTCATAAGGAGACAAGTGGTCAAGCTGAGGAGTTGGTAATCGATTAATCAGAAAAACCACAGTGGAAAAGGCTTCAACCCAAAAGTGATGGGGCAAGCAAGACTGAGCGAGCAAACAGAGGCCCATTGCAACAATATGCCGATGTTTTCTTTCCACCACTCCATTTTGTTGGGGAGTGTATGGACATGAGATCTGATGAGAGATGCCATGATCACGTAAAAATGTCAAATAATCTGCTGGTGAATTCACCGCCAGCACCAATATGCAATTGTTTGATGCTAGAGCTAAACCGATTTTCCACCATCTTTTTGAAGTGAATAAATGTAGTAACAACATCTGATTTATTAGCCAATGGATATAACCAAGTGAACCGAGTATGATCATCAACAATGGTTAAATAATACTGATAACCAAAGTTTGAGGAAATTGGTGCAGGGCCCCATAAGTCCATATGTAAAAGTGCAAATGGAAATTGTGCATGAGACTGTCTATATTCAAAAGGTAATCGACAAGATTTTCCCAAAGGACAAATATGACAAGGTTTATTAGGGATAATTGTACCATCAAGTGGTAAGTGGTACTTATTCAATAATGTAGTAAAAACTGAATGAGATGGGTGTCCAAGTCGTGCATGCCACACTTCTTGTGTTGTACGCTTTCCATAATAAGCAATCTGACGAGCAATGTGAGAGGCTATCTAAATATGATAGAGACCATCAGAGCTACTGCCAGTAAGGAGTACCGTCTCCGTCTTGTTGTCCTTCACACGAAAACCATTAGCATCTAACTCAAAGAAACAATCATTATCGCAGCAGAAATGACGAATAGAGAGCAAATTTTTGCGGATCGCAGGCACGCATAAAACTTCATTAAGATGTAATGACTTATTCAACCCGGTCAACTTTGTATTGCCAACATGTGTTATTGCTAACATATTTCCATTTTCAACAATAATTTTATCAGTACCTATGTAAGGCTGAGCATTGGGGAGAGAGGTTGTGTTGACTGTCACGTGGTGAGTAGCACCTGAATCAAAACACCAATTGAGGTTTTCCATATCAGCAGTAGAAGTGGAAGAGTTCGCCAAATTTTCTGCCATGTATGCATGAGGTTTACGGTCTGGGCAAAAACGGGCTATGTGGCCTGGCTTATCGCACCGAAAACATATTACTTCACTCCGCTGGGTATTTGAATGGAACAATAAGTGGGCATGTGAGGAATTTCCTTATGGTGTTGGAAGAAGTGGAGGGCGTCCATCAGAGAGAGTCGCAGGAGAGGAAGTGAAGGCTTCATATTGTTGGTTGCGAGGCTAAGAGGCTTGATCTGGAACCCAAGCTCCTTAATTTGGCTCCCAATGATCGGCTGTCCTGAATCCATGCCCGCTGTGCCCTTGATTCCAATTCCTTCCACTACCACGTCCTATTCCAGATCCGGAATATGAATTTTGATTGCGACCAGTCATGTTAGAATTGGAGATGCGCTCATTGGGCAGACGGTCAGCAACCATAGCAACGCCTGAAGCAATGTTAAGAGACATCCGTTTTTGCAGATACTCTTTTCTTAGAGCTAGATCGTAGAATTGATCGAAATCAATATCGGGATGCAGATGAAGCATTGTGGCTAACTCTTTGTATTCAAGGCCAAGTCCATCTAGAACATAACTGATGAGTTCATCATTATCCATTGTTGCACTAGCTTGTGTGAGGGATTCAAAGAGTGATTTGGCATGATTGAGATAATCAATTACAGTTGTGTTGTTGTCCTTTCTAAGGGTGCGAATTTGGTCTTGAAGAATTCGTACACTGGTACTAGCGAGGGGTGAGAGATGGTTGGCCAACATGGTCTAGGCTTGATAAGCAATGGTACATGGGATGAGGAGTGTCTTGATGGAAGAAGTGGAAGTAGCCTTGATCCAACTCAGGACCAGTTTATCCTTGGCTAACTCAGGGTGCACAGAGCCATCATCTTGCACTTTGGGTGGGTCTGTGTTGTTCTTGACAACTGCTGCAAGGCCATGCATCTCTAATACATCTTCATATTGGGATTTCCAACTCAAGTAGTTGGTGCGATCCATAGGAACTGGAAACAGGGATAAGATGTTGAATGAGGTGAGCAAAGAAGGGGATGATAGTGAAGGTGAAGTGAGTTTTGACATTTCAGAAATCAGTTGTGACATATCAATATTGCTTGATTCTCTAGATTTGGGTGTGCTAGCCATTGGTTTGGGCAGGATTGATATTTTGAGGGTTAGCTCCGAAGAGCTCTGATACCATATAAGAAAATGAACTCAAGAGAGGGAGAAGAGTGAGATGAGAGGGAAATATGAGCAATTGGTACAATTCGATGATTTCTATGTATTATCAGTTAGTACATATATATTGGTACAAGGTTTAGACTTTTGCAAGTCTATTTACAGAAACTCAGAAATATAAGGTAAGTGCAATCAATTGCACATATTACAGAGTAATTGATAACTAAATCCGGCTAACAGAGTGCTATGCTTGTGATGAGGAGTCTTCCAAGGCTGATGGATTGGGATCGACTGATTTCATGGGATTGATGGAAGGGATGGAATCTGTTGGAACAAATTGGATGGGATTGGCTGGAGTGATATTCTCTTTACTCCCTTTGCATTGCTCTCGGTTTATAGAGGCTGAAGTCCTTTGTTGAAGCTCTTAATTCCCCACCTAAATCTTTAAACCAATTGTCCATTGCTTTTCAGTCCTTGTTGCTGCAGAATCACGTGGGTTTTCTTTAATTCCTACAGCTGCCACCACTTCTTTTGCTCATCACGTGCATGCCCATTTCTCATTGCCTTTTTTGTCTATGTACAGTACCCGCTACAATACCAGGCACTTCTTTAACATAACCGTGTCGTGAACTAACCATTTTTGGACTAGGGATAGAACTTGAAAGACACTCTCGCAACCATACCAGGTAAGTTAGTTATATTTTTATTTCTGGTATGGGTAGTTGGCCTACAGGAATCGATCGTCAAACAACAAATTATGGGTACCTGAAAAACGTTTGCGAAAGTTGTGTGAGCATGGCAACTGTTTTTGGATCTTATATTTATATGGAAACGGTTTGTGTTGTGTATATTATTTTCACTATTTTTCTTAAACGGTATTATATTATTTTCACTGTCTATTTTCAAACCCGGCCGGGAGCCCTACTGGGCAGGTGAATGTATGTGATGCTCACCCCTACTTGTACTTATAGATCAAAATCCTTTAACGTCACCTTGTTACTATTTCCGGACCTGTCAACAGTTTGTTCTTGTTCCTTGTCTAATTTTTACAGGTCCTAATTTCCTCTCCTTGGAGCAGACTGTGCTTGCAGTGCATGCCCCTTCTCTGTTTATAAATAAAGGATGGGTTGGCAAGAGGTCTGCTAGGTTTTGTAGTTTTAGATGTTCCTGCTAT